TATACAACTTTTGTTTGATATACGAAAATATAGAGTCATATATCCTGCAGAGGAATGCAATCTTTTAGCATTCGGGCTTAAACTATTGCAAGTCGACCACCACTAACTGTACTTCTGCATATTGAATACTTTTTATCATTACATGAATGCTTCTGTTCCCATTTAAGCACTATATTCTGCTGCATGTAAACTGGGTTTCACTTCACTGTGTAGTTCACATTCTCAGGGAAAGTCAGTCCTGCTCTTTATACGCGTTGGAAGAACGCAGCGGGCAACCCACAGCCCGAGAACGAACACATCCGATCCCAGGGGCACGTGCTGCTTGGTGGGAAATGTAAGTTCAGAAGTCAGCCAAGGGAAGCTACTTCGGGGAGCAGCAGGAGGTTGAAACGTTTGGCTTGGGGTGAACACTGTAGTTCCAAGAGTCATCTTTTCTCCAGACTGGTGAAAGGCAAAGAAGAGTGTGCTTTCAACCTAGGCGTGCTATTGCAGAAGGATGTTTTTCTTCTAAAACTGCCAACATCTTCTGCAAGGGCCGCTGCCCGGTCGCCCCGTGGGACGCTCGCCTACCCGAGCCCCGCTCTGCTCCCACCGACAGCCCCTTGTGCCAGGGTTGGCCGGTTACCTTCTTCCTCTGCCTACCGCTGCTGTTCGAACTGTGATGTCCGTGTTGGAAGCCCATAACGCTTAGCTCACTTTTTTGCCTGCAAATAGATGGTGTCTTGGGGTTTCCACCATGCCATAAACCGCGTGCCCAGTCCGAGGCTACGTTTGTATGAAGCCATGAGACACGTCTGCTTAATCTGATCTTTTGCCCTGCCCTGAGCCGCTGCAGGGAAGGGCCCTCTAGATCCCCGCTCAGAGCCCCTCGCCATGCCAACGTCCCCTCTCCTCTCAACCCCGCCTGTGCTTCGCACGGCTCCTTTCAGCACCTGATGCTGCTCGGGCGTCTAGATGTGAATCGGAAAAGCACGAAACAAAAAGATGGGTTCATTTTTCCTTTGATGTCCCTGTTAAGCAACGTCTACACTGAAGGAAAAATGTGCGTATCAATAAGCCACATAATTAGTGGACCAGGGAATCAGCATTAGTTAGTTTAAATTCAGTCATTTTTGAAAAGCCCTATTTGCAATTATAAGAATGAGAGGCTGTTACTTTTAAATTAAATCTTGACTCCCAAGACCCTTACTCCCCTGTGCTGCCCAGCATCGTCAGGCATGGTTCACTGTAATCCCACCTAGCCTATTAACTAAATGCAATGTTTACTACTTGTGCTCGTATTACCAAGTCACTTTTCACATCGGCACAGCATTTTAAGTTGTGCGCAGTCACACTATCCTTTTTCTTCACCTTACTACTTTGTACTCCAACGTCTCAAGTGGAATACGATCTCCTTTTTTTATTCCAGAGATTATGCCTAAGCATACAAAGAAAATCATGCATCAGTAACAGCCCCAAGGGGTAGCTATCTTTAGTTTCATATTTGAATGCATGCACGTTATTATAACGTAGTAAGCCATTATAATGAGTTTTGTTGCTGTTATGCTATTTGAAATGTAAGTCTTGTTTGCTTTATCAATTATAAGAGAATTAATATTTTTAGATTAAAGACTTTTGGGCTGCTTCCCTGTGGCTGCTTAACTTCTGAGATTTAATTTTTGCTCAACCCTATAACATAACACACGTGAGCAGCTGTGAGGTGCAGAAACTGGGGAGTCAGCAGAGACGCCCTCCCCCTTCCCACAGTCCCAGAAGCCAGTTCAAACCAAACAGTTCTATAATTTCAAGATGCTTCTATAAACCTTTCCCCAAAACTTCTAGCCCCTTCTTAATGCAGTGGTGTATTTTGGGTTTCTAACCAGGGTGTAAAGCACTCAGATGAAGAACTGCCCAAGGCTGAGAGCACTGTTATCCCAGAGCCGGAGGTACCGCAGGACGAGCTTCTCCCTGCTGCCCATCTGGTGTCTCAGCGAATGCGGATTCATCAGCGATCTGTACGAGCCACGCAACGGCCTCTCTAGGCCGTTCAAGGCACTGGTTTTGAGTGATAAAGTGCTAAATGATCGAAAACCTGACTGCCTGCAAGCCCTCTCCTCACCCTCCCCAGCAGAAGCAGGAGAGTATTCAGCCTTTTCTGGCCTGAAAAGAGGGAAAGCTTCCCACGGGCTACAGCTACGAGGGCTTCGGCCTCCTTTCCTTGGACTTCCCTGGGGGAGAATATTGCAAAGCACATCTGTTTTAGCAGATGCTTAAGGAAAGTTAATGAACGACGACTCCTGTAAGCTTGATGACTAAGTAGAATTAGTTCTGCAAGCTTTCTGTCTTGCTGACTAGAAGTTTTAACGGGGTGCAGTTTCTGACTGCTTTTGTTTTCAGTTTTAATGACAATTTTATGATGAGATGGTTCCAGGAGTCCAGAAATGGTGTTTTTTGTTCTTACTTAGATCAATGGAAATCAATACAGTTTGCAGAGCCAAAAGGCTTCATTATTTCAGATACTGAACATACACTTAGGATTTCAGATCTAACTTTCACTATTCATTTATGCAAAAATTCATTCAGATCTACAAAAAAATTGGGTCCCAGTCCAAGACTAACTCATGAAAATTGGATTCTCTCTGTTCTATTAGTAGCAACTGTAGTGAACTCCCACTGTATAAATTTAGTGTTGCATTTTATCAGCGAATTATCTGTAGGATAAGGTGCATGCTACTCTAACCTACCTATGGAAGCTGATTCGTCTCAGTTTTGCATTAAAAAAATGAACGGGCTTTCCAAGCCTCATTCTGTGCTGCTTTTCCAGCATCCAGAAGTAAAAGGGAAACCCTAGAGGGAAAAAATAATACGTATGTCTCTTCCTCTTTCCTGCAACTGTAAAAGTGTTGGAGGCTCAGAGTTCCTAGTATCTTGGAAGCCGTACAAGTTTGCATGTCTATAAACAACAGATTAACAAAAAATGATGTGCCATCAGATTTAACATAATTACATACTGACATATACGTGAGCAATAAGTCACAACAGGACAGTATGTTTCTTGGTGATTAAAGTAAGCCTCCGATGACAAGACGATGGGAATAGAAAAGAGAGGGCAGGAACTTCGTTGTCCTGAAACGCTCTGCTCGTTCTGTGCTGCCGCTCCCACCGCACCGAATGCACTCATCAGGAGAGGGACCGGTCCATGTTACAAACATAATGATGCTGATCACACTGGAAAGGGCTAACCGCATCCCGAGTCCTATGGTCTGTATTAAAACCTGCACTACAATACTTTTTATATAAAATGCGTTTCTACCACAACCCACCCTCCCAACACACCTACAGTATAGTACGGATCTTTGGAACTGGGATGTAGACAAATTTCTTCAACAGAAGAAAAATCTTTACTGTTCTATATAGTAAAGATCAATTATATTGTTTTAAAGAATGCTTTAGAATATGGTTAATGCATGACAGTTACAAGCGTTCTGAAAAGTTAAGAAGCGAAAAGGGCAGCTCACACTCCTAAAGGGGAGCAGCTGGCCAGTGAGAAATGAGCTGACAGATGGTTTTCTCTGAAAAATGGTCATTAATATTCTACGTCAACTCCCAGGCTTAATGGGATGTTAGAGCTGAGAAATCAAGTGCTCGGAAGCCAGGAAATTCCAGAAGCTAAAAGGTGCATATGTACATTTGCTTAAAAGGGACATTATCAGCTTCGTTTTGCTCCAATCTTTAAACTTAACGGAAACAAGCTCTTAGATGAGCTAAGAGCTGTAAAACAAAATTTCCTATTAAAAAAAACCCTACCCATTTAATGAGCTACTTTTAAAAGTGATGATCATCTTACAGAGAAGTGTGTTATCACGACATAGCACTTAGGACTGAAAGTGAAGTTGACTGTAAAAAAGATTGAAACGTGGTCATTTTTTAGGGTTCAAGCTGACAGGCCCCCTCCTCAGATGTTATGAAGTGCAGCAGCTCTGAAGTCAATGGACTATAAAAACTTATGCACAGTGCATACTCCTGCCTTAGACCACCACGAATGGCAGAACAGGGTGAAAATTTCAAGGTTTAGTTGAAAATCTTGTTAACGAACCAACTTTCCCACACCCAAAACCCTAAGTAGCAAACCTGTGAAGATGCCTTTAAAAATATATCCTTTTTCTGTAGACTCTTTCAGTGCCTTTCTGGTCGTTATACCTTAATGACTGTAATTATTAAAGCATTTTTCAACCTTAGGCTTATTAATGCAATTATCATTATTACAGCTCAACTATGGGCAGTCCTATTATGCCTCATTTATGGGCACAGAAGCTAGGATGACCAGGAAACTAAGAAACTCCTCCAAAAGCTACGCCACAAGGCTGCCGGAAGCTAACAGCTTAGCTCCTGGACTGTTCTTCCAGTCGCTCACTTTTTAAGTCATTGCATTAACTTCATGCCAGCCGGCTGGAACCGGGGCCAGCACGCACCTCCCGGCTCCCGGAGGCAGCCTTCCCCTTCCTAATGCCACTGCAGCGGTGGGAGCATGGTCCTGTCATACCTGAGCTCCTACTGATGTAAAAAAAGGCACTCTCTACCTTTTTTCAGCTGCTGCTTCTGTCTTTCCGAAGGAGGCGCTCGCAGGGGTTCTTCCTTCCTTGGGGGGACGCGTCCTCCTCCCACCCTGCTCCCCAGGGCTACGCTTCCTGCGCCGCCTCCTTCGGAAAGTCAGGGAGGTCTTAGGGACTAAGGATCTGTCTGGTTTTAAGTAACTACCATCACATATAATGTCTTCCCTTTTACAATGGTTGACACATTCACAATAACAATTTTAGCGGCTATCTTTAGACGACATTTGTGCATCACAGTTTCGTTGCTGCACACCACAAAGTGATGAGCATGACCAGGATCTTCCCTGCGGCCTCCGCTCTCTCTCACGCAGCTGCTTACGGTGAAATGGGGAGTAGCGTTAGCAAGCACAACCCGTTGTTAACACGTGCAGTGCGTCTGTGACCAAAAGGGAAACGCAGGCTACTTACTTCCTTTCTCCTTTGTACCACTCAAAGACTGGAGCAGGAACTCCTGCACCTTCACATCTTATCAGTCCATTCCCTCCAAGCATCACACCACTGGACTTAAGTTCCTGAATTGTGGGGGCAACTGAAAAAAAATTGTAAAATAGATATTTGCATAAAAATATGAAGATTGTTTAACTCTGTTTCTCTTCAGTATGTTTTACGTTACTCTCAGTCTGGTGCACATTTTCCAGCTTGACTCACATTCAACCACGTTTTCTTCCAGTAGTGTAAAAATTATCCCACACAGTAGATTCTGCTATAGATCTGCACGTCTGGTACAAAAAACATAACTGAGACATGAAGGAATATTAATCCTGTATTGAAAAATGCTTTCTTAAAACTATATTTTAATTAGTTACTCAACAGAAAGTATAATTATCTGTAATTGTTAGCCAACGGGTATGTCAGCAGTTGGGTCGCAGGGGCGCAGGTAGAGACTTGGCCGATGATGTCATTCGTCTTCTGTGCCAACGGCTGAAGCTGCCGATTGCGAATGCTCAGGGAACCTGGCTCCGCAGGTGCAGGCGGCCTTGGACGTCCCTCTTCTTCTGTAGTGAAGGACAAACTTACCTTCACAGCTAGGAAAGAATCCTAAATATCATACAACAAGCGTGACTTTCCCAGTGTTACACTGGATATAGACTGGATTCAGTGAATTTCCTTTGTCTTGTTAAATAGTAAACATTTTAAATTTATAACTACAGACAAAAAAAAAGTGATTCTCAATTTCTCCAGGTGCCACAGAAATCCAACCATCAGGTGCAAATAAAAAACAATGAATTCCTCAGGAAAGAGTTTAACAAAGGAAAGGTTGACTGAATCATTGCCTTCCCCCTGGAATTTGTTACACATTTTCTATTTTTAAGAAGTAATTTATGTGCATCATAAAATGCTATAAAAACAAAACCACAGAACTTATAAATAAAAATCTGTTTATTTTCTCCCAAGCAATTTTCCAGATGTTGCTTTAAGGTATATAAATACATGTAAAATGCTGACTCCCTCTCATCTGTTTCTTTCATAATCTCATTCCTTCTCCTGCCTGTCGTGTTAAGAGGCCATAATCTTTTACGATAGCCAGCTACACTACAGAAGCAACAGATACATTAAACAGCAGATTCATAATAAAGTTCTCTGCGCAGGCTGGTCAGCTTCATCACTCACTTCATGCTCCCAGGGGAACACGACTCAGGACAAACAAAAATATGTGGATCTGCAGAAGCACGAGGTATTAAAAAAGTCCATGAAACAGGCATTCACAGGTGACGCTCTGTCCTGGCGCTCCTATCGCCACACATGTCTAACCAGAAATTACCTGGAGTGGGATTAAAGCTACCGTTGAAGTCGGTGGTAATCCAGACACTGTAACCACCAACAGCTTCACGGTGTCCCACCTACTATCCCCCATCGTCAGCCAGAAAGGCTGCTAGAAACACTGGGGTTAGGTAAAACCGCCAGCGTAGGCTAATGGGGTTGGGAAGAAGAAAACAGGTCTATTAACCACGACACACAGTCGCATGATTACGGGCACGATCGCTCCAACCTTCCTTTCACCAGCACATCATTCACTACTGCTGTCCTAGAAACGTGCCACGCTAAGCTGGGATCTAGTTGTCACAACCCAGAGAAAACAAATGCACCTTCTTAGCACCTACACATACGTCTCAATGTTTCGGAAATTCAGAGGAGGATGATTTAGATGGGATTAAACACAGAATCGACTCCCTCTAGCCCACCCCTCACATCACACCTTGTCGGAGTCAGGGGAGAGATGATGACAGCTTCTGCAGCCAGCAGCCAACTCTCCCTCTTCAGCTTTCCCTTCCCAGCAATTACATGGCAGAAATCCACAAATTTATTCACTCTCAAGAGGTAACATTAACCTTTCAAGTGCATGATAAACATAACCAATTTGCATGACTACTACCCCATAGTTTAAAATGCACATCCAGTATTATGGAAAACTGTACTAATGTGTACGGGAAGAAAATGAGCTTTTTTTCCCCCTAAAATGTTACTCCTCAAAAAAAAAAAAAAAAAAAACCCAACCCAAACCAGAACCCAAGGCATATAACACATTAGTCTTTCTTGAGAAATGCCGCAGCTTGTATGGCCAAGGACCGGGTAAAATAACTTTTGAGTGAGACAGATCACGTGGAGGGCTTGACAAAGCCCTGGCACGAGACAGGACATCCCTGGATGGTTGTTTTACAGAGCTGCCTGGACTGCCTACCGTCCCTACAGCACAGAGTGACACCAGCAGCTGCCAACAGCATGGCAAAGTTCAACTTGGGGTTCCAAAATGTCAAAAGAAGATAATACTACAACTCACGCAAGATAAATTATACAAAAACATTACCTCACTGATGGGGAAAACAGAAGAATCCAGCATTGGTCCATGACAAACTGAGCTTGCCAAAAGGTTGACTATTTTTAACAAGAGGAGGTCTGCCTCCTATCAAGGTTTTTCACACTATCCTACTGTTTAAAAAGAAAAAATAATTTTGCGATGTATGCTCTTCTATGGCAGTTTCATCTTTGCAAATAATCCTTTTTCCTCCCCAAGAAGCAAAGAAAGAAACTGTCAATGTACCGGCCTGTTCTCCATGACGATGCACAACAATCAAATTCACCATATTTATGATGCAAAACATTTGCAACAGGATTGTTTCCTTTCCGGGTCTGGCTGAGCATCCACTGCCTGTGCACGCAATAACGGAAACCTGCAAAAAAAGGGAGCCCAGCCCGTCCCGGCCACGCGTGGCAACGGGCTCCAGCGGGCCAGGGGACGCAGCCCAACCGAGACCCTCCGCTCCTGGCTTTTCTGCCCGTTGAGGCAGAATTTTGTAACAGTGAAAAGCTGATCAAAATGAAGATTTTTTTTGATCTCCCTTTCAGAAAAATTTCAGTTTTTGTTTGTTCAGAACAGTGTGCAAAAACAATAATAAAAAAAATCAATATTTTCTGCTCTAAGAAATCCCTGGCTAATACCGACATTAGAACACAAAACTGAAGATAGCTTAAAATCACCTTTCTCTTATATTTTTCATTGTCAGATTACTTTCTTGTTTTCTAATATAAAGAAAAACTGCGATGCAGGCACATTTCTGGTGGACAGATCAGTACCGTGCTGCCAAAAATCTATCTGATCCTACTGCTTTCATTAGTATGGAAGACTGAACAACCCTAGATAAAATTATAGCTCGAAATACCTGCTGCTTCTGATTGTCAAGGTTTGTTTCGGAGAGGAAAAAGACAAAGACATCCTAAGAGATTCTCAGACCTCAAGCTATTTCATGTATTTTTAAAACATTTTTCCAATTAGTCAGCAAAGACTCATTTTTAAGAAAGCATTCATAATTTGATCTTCTCGCTGCTGTCAGTCATGCTGAAATGCAGCACATAAGAATAATCTGGATTCTTACGCTGCTGAGGTTGCATTTTCTCAAACGTAAAAGATTTTGAGGTGATAATAATCAGCAAGAACACTATATCGATCTAAATACATGCAACTTGGCAAGAGGAAAGCTCATATATATGTTAACAAGGGCTCACATGGCTGGAAACTCAGTTCTACCTTCATTATTATCCAATAATATACATTGCCTTTGCTGGTGAACAGCCTCACTGCCGAGGGCGAGACCCTGTGCCCAGGATGGACGGGACCTGCAAGATCAGCCCAACCGCCTGGATAAGCAGATCCCTGAAGGTGAACAATAAACGCACAGAGCAGAAAATGATTTTTCCTCTCAGGTACCACCCCCACAGCTTAGGAAATTCCTTAAACCGAGCCTGCACCTATCTCATTTCCTTTTCTCATACACGCTGCCTGATGCTCGAAGTGGAATTAAACTCTCTCCTTTTTGAAACTGGTGACCACGAGTAGACACAGTGCTCCAGATGGGTGCACACAAAAGTCTTCCAGCAGCATATGAGATTGTTTTGTTTTGTCTTCACAATTCCCAACGCTCTTCTCTTCTTGATATCTAAAATGTCAGCATTAATTGCAAGACATACTGCTAAATTAGCAAAAGTAACTCAAAATCAATTACTGCATACAAATAGTTCCTCCCATCCCTCCTCCCTGCCTGTTACAGGACTTTGCATTTGTCAACATTAAATATGTCTTTTTTATCATCTCCACTTTGTTAGATCCTTCTGTAACTCTTCACCGTTAGCTTTAGTTTGTATCGTCAATAGACTCTGCCAACCTGCCGTCCACACCCTCTTCTGGACCACTCATGAACATGACGAAGGGCCATGAGACACCGCCTCGAACTGCTGGCGGGCTCCGGCGAGGCCGTCGGAAACGCTCTCAGGGACGCGAGCACTGCTGCCCCAGCGCGGTCCTGCTGCCGCCAGGGGCCTTCCCGCTCCCGCTCCTACGCTCCAAGTCAACAGTAACCAGAAACACTGGACACCCAGTAATATATTTTCACTCAAGAGTGTAATAATAACAACTTAACCTATTAGAGGAAATCATTTAATATCAGCAACGATACCATGCTGTACGTTCAGCCGACTGATTAAACCCACAGATACTAGCAGATGCCTTGAAGACATCTGGAGACTACAGCAGGTCATGAATGAACACAGACAGACCCACGCTGAAAGACTGGACAAAGGTTTAAAAGGATAAAAATAAAGAACAGTTTTAGTAGAGAAATTTTAAAAAAAACCTAATTACATCTGGAAAAATAGTGGGAAAATGGGAGAAGTTTTGGTTAAGATCCCGCACAACAGCTTCTGGGCTGAACGGAGGCATGGGCTGAGGTCAGGCCCCAGCAGGTCGGTCGTCCCTTAAATTCCACGGCCCCCAAAACCGAGAATTTTGCCGGGTTTTTGCAGGAATACAGGAGAAGACTGCTTCTGCGCACGGGGGCACGGGTGTGCTTCGGAGGGTGCACCGAGCACTTCCTTAGAAATAAACGCAAAAGTGAGCAAAGAAAGAATGATTTGTCTCAAAGGTATAAAATATCAGTAAAGATTAACACCATTTCACAGAGAGAGCTTATGTGAAGAAGGGCGCGATAGCTACAAACAGTTCCCAACAGGGGGAATTAATTGAAAAGTTAGTCTCAC